ACACGCACAGACACAGACACAGACACGCACACGCACACGCACACGCACAGACACAGACACAGACACACAGACAGGCACAGACAGACAGACAGACACACACAGACACAGACACACAGACAGACACAGACAGACACAGACAGACACAGACACACAGGCACAGACAGACACACAGACACAGACACACAGACAGACACAAAGACACACACACACACACACACAGTCAGACACACAGACACAGACACACACACACACACAGACACACGTGTCATGAATCACCGCATACAGCAGCATGGCGCGCAGCAGCGTCACGTGACCTCACCCCTGCGTTCAGCAACGTCGTCACCACGTTCTTCCCCGGCAGACCCTGGATGGTCGTCCCTTTGCCGGTGGTCTTCTGCACCACGATGACGTTGGGTTTGGAGGTCATGGGGATGGTGGTGATCTTGGTGGTGGTTCCTGTGAAGGCAGAGCGTCAGAATAAGAGGCGGGACTCGCTGCAGTCAGCGGCGCGCTGCTGTTTCCAGCTCTTACCCGACACCATGTTGGTGGTGAGGATCTTGCCTCCCAGCGTGGCCAGAGACTTGGGCACTACGGTGATGATGCTGCCGCTGGTGGTTTTGACGTACGTGGCTCCGGCGGGAGACGTGGCCACACGCGTGCCGATCGCAGGACTGACGGATGGACGCGTGTACGACGCCTGAGAGCCTAAAACACACGTCACAGGTTCAGCGATTCATAAACTTGACCGACAAGATCAGATATTAGTCAATGACGCTCAGGATCTGTTAGATCTGTACATCTTTCCCTTTCTTTGAACAAAACCAATGCTTGAAAATGTGGATTCATTATTTTTCTTATAACAATAAAACAGCACAATGACAAACTCACATTAAAGCAATAAGCCCTTAATAAGTGAGTTTATAACACCTAAGGGGTGTTGTTAGCTTAGCTGTTATAAATTCACTGTAAACCACGGCTTCACGGGGCTTATTGCTTTTATAAAACGGTTATTCCATATACGTAGTAAGGTTTCACAAAATAAAACAGAGCAAATAAAGTGTAATGATATTAATAAAAACAGTATTCTTCCACCAAACAATGTAGTTCCTCAGAAACAGTTGTGGTTGTAACAAAGTGTAAACAAAGGTGCAACAGACAAACGTAAACAAAGGTGTATGTTACTTTGTAGCGTAATTTACAACAGCTTCGAACGCGGCTCAGCCAATCAGAATCAAGGACCGGAACTCTCCGTTTTATAAAATCCATTTTGGCCAGAAGAATTATTTTATTTTAAAAAGTCATAGCTTAATATTTTTCGGCTAAAACCACATTGTATCTGATCAGCAGCTTCTCATTATTGAGTGAATGTGAAAGTTTTGAATGTCACATATTATTACCATGCTTTACTGCATTTACCCCTTTTTTATCAATTAAAAAATTAGCAATTCTTTAAAAAAACAATTTTTAAATATTGATGAGAAATTTTATATATATATGATTGTATGAACTTTATAAGTACATATAATCTGAGAATTTTTAGCAGTAAACCCATTGTCCAGATTCTTGAAACCTACATATTTATTTCTAACAAAACAACATGCACGTCTCTGCTCATGCATGTGCTGTAACACGTCTGTGGTACCTGTGGGAGTGGACACCAGTTTAGTGGTCATGATGGCGCCGTTGCTGCTGACCACCATGATGGGGGCGGAGCTACTGCTGGGCAGCGCGGCGCTGGAGGGTTTGGGTAAGATCTTACTGGGGTGCATCTGCTGCGTGATGATCTTCACTCCTGCACACACACACACACACACACACACACATAGGGCTATTCACTTTTTTATTTACTTTCATTAACTGAAATAAAATAAATTACAAAAAATTAATCTTAACAATAAGCTAGTTGTCAAGGCAAAATTTCTCATTTTCCTTTAGATTAAGTTCTAAAATAACTAAAACTTAATAAAAAAATATAGGCATATTAAAAAAAAAAGAAAACAAAAAAAGACAAAAACACACAACAAAATTGCTAAAACAAACTAAAATGAAAACAGAAAATATTAAAATAAAATCTTATTGCACATATTAACAAAAACTATAATAGTGTATCAATGATACTAAAATAACACTGAGTCGACCTGTTTATTAAACCATTTTAGTAGGGTTGCACGATTTGGGTAAAAATATAATTGCAATTTGTCTGATAGAAATTATGAATGCAATTAAAAAGCAATTAAATTAATGAATTTTATAACATGCTAAGGACATGCTAGTAACTTGCTAATCACGCTAGCAACATGGCAGTCACTTGCTAATCATGCTAGAAACATGGTAGTATTTTGCTAATCATGTTAATAACATGCTAGTAACATGTTAATCATGTTAGAAACATGCTAACAACATGTTAGTAACTTGGTAACCATGCTAGTAACTTGTTAATCATGCTAAAGACATGTTAGTAACATGCAAATCATGTTAAAACATGCTAGCAACATGCTAATGATGCTAGTAACTTGCTAATGATGCTAGAAACATGCTAGTAACTTGTTAATCATGCTAACAACATGGTAGACACTTGCTAATCATGCTAGCGAAATGCTAGTAACTTGTTAATCACACTAGCGACATGCTAGTAACTTGTTAATCATGCTAGCGGCATGCTAGTAACTTGTTAATCATGCTAGCAACATGGTAGTCACTTGTTAATCATGCTAGCAACATGGTAGTCACTTGCTAATCATGCTAGAAACATGGAAGTATTTTGCTAATCATGTTAACAACATGCTAGTAACATGTTAATCATGTTGGAAACATGCTAGCAACATGCTAGTAACTTGATAACTATGCTATAAACATACTAGTAACTTGCTAATCATGCTAAAGACATGTTATCAACATGCTAATCATATTAGAAACACGCTAGTAACATGCAAATAATATTAAAACATGCTAGCAACATGCTAATGATGCTAGAAACATGCAAGTAACTTGCTAATGATGCTAGCGATATGCTAGTAACTTGCCAATCACGCTAGCGACAGGCTAGTAACTTGTTAATCACACTAGCAACATGGTAGTCACTTGCTAATCATGCAAGCAACATGCAAGTAACTTGTTAATCATGCTAGAAACATACAAGTAACTTGCTAATCATGTTAACAACATGCTAGTAACATGTTAATCATGTTGAAACATGCTATCAACATGCTAGTAACTTGCTAACTATGCTATAAACATACTAGTAACATGCTAATCATGCCAAAGACATGTTAGCAACATGCTAATCATATTAGAAACACGCTTGTAACATTCAAATCATGTTAAAACATGCTAGCAACATGCTAATGATGCTAAAAACATGCTAGTAACATGCTAATCATGCTAGAAACATGTTATCAACATTCATTTTCAAACTTCACGCTTTTACAACTGCTTTAAACTTTCTGGTCCGGCTTTCTCAAGCCAACCTAAAGTTTGTCTTAACTAACTTTTTTATCTAGTTATCATTATTATTATTATTAAATAAAAATATTAAACAACACAAAATACTACTATTGTAATATTTTACTTTAAAATATAAAGAGTACTCAAGAAAAATAATACAATAATTTTACAATCCAACTGTCAAATTACATCACTAATATTAACATCTTTTAAAAATTCAAATAATAAATATTATATTTACACCAAGCTTTTATTTTGACAGAAAACTGCAGGGACCCTTAAAGCTTCTCTTTAGTTGATAAGCTTGTGAAGATGTCTAGAGATGTTTCCTTCTCAAATGCATGTTAAAGCGTCTCAGACTCAGAGCCGATGCAGTTCATGTGGATCATTTACTGTGTGATGCTGAAAACACCAGATCATGAGCTGCTCACGTGTAAAGGAACACAGTGTTGCGCTTCACTCAGAAACGGGCAGCGCAGATATTTATTTCATTAAATTGCAGCCTTTGTTGTTAATTTCGATTAGTCGTGCAGCCCTGTGTTTTATGTGCCGTCACACGCGCTCACCAGACTCCTGTTTGATCTGAATGGTGGGCTTGGCTCCGGCGCTGGCACTCTGAGGAGACGAGGCCTGCAGGCCTTTAGGAGACACAGACTGAACCGCCGTCTGCTGCTGCGCTCTGGGAATCTGCAGGATCTGAGACGGAGAGCTGACCAAAGCCTTGGGAGACGGCAGACGAGTGGAGGCCACCTTCACCGCCGCGGACGACGCGCCTGAACCACACACACACATCAAAATACTGAAACACACACAAACCTGCAGCAACACACACACACACACGCACACACACACACAGGTTTGTTTTTGTGATCACTCTCCTGCAGCGAAACACACACACACTCACTCACTCACACACTCACACACAAACCTGCAGCGACACACACACACACACTCACTCACTCACTCACATACACACACATCAACATACTCAAACACACACAAACCTGCAGCGACACACACACACACACTCACTCACTCACTCACATACACACACATCAACATACTCAAACACACACAAACCTGCAGCGACACACACACACACACTCACTCACTCACTCACATACACACACATCAACATACTCAAACACACACAAACCTGCAGCGACACACACACACACACACTCACTCACACACACTCACACACTCACTCATACACACACACACACACTCACTCACTCACTCACTCACTCAGTCACTCAGTCACACACACACTCACACACACACACTCACTCACTCACTCTCCGTCACACACACACACACACTCACTCACTCACTCACTCAGTCACTCAGTCACTCAGTCACACACTCACACAGACACACACTCACACACACACACTCACTCACTCACTCACTCTCCGTCACACACACACACACACACACACACACACACACACACACACCAACATACTCAAACACACACACACTCACCCTGTGCGATGGTGGACATCACCACTGAAGGTGTGGAGGACACCATGGTCGTCACGGCGACAGGACTGGGCCCCAGGGCCGCGGCGGAGCCGGCTGAGAGCACCATGGTCTGCTTCTGGCTGGACGCGTTGAGCGCGGCGCTCGACACCAGCTTCGACACGGCCGCGTAGTTGTGCGACCTGGACAAGATGTTGGGCACGAAGTTGGAGCTGGGAGACGTCGTCACGATTATTACCTGCAGCACAGAGTGGACTCAATGAATCACTCAAACATGATTCAGTGATTCGTACGTCATTAGAGTGTTTATTTGCTCTGAAGGAACATTCAAGCATTGGTGGTTGGATCTTGATGTCAAAGTCTCTTCTGCTCACCAAGGCTGATCAAAAATACAGTAAAATAGTGAAATATTATTAGAATGTAAAACAGCTGTTTTCTGTGTGAATATCTGTTAAACTGTAATGTATTTCTGTGATGCGCAGCTGTATTTTCAGCATCATTACTCCAGTCTTCAGTGTCACATGATCTTCAGAAATCATTCTAATATGCTGATTTGCTGCTCAACAAACATTTCTGATTATTATCAATGTTGAACACAGTTGTGCTGCACAATATTTTTGTGGAAACTGTGATGCATTTTATTTTTCAGGATTCACAGATGAATAGAAAGTTCAAAAGAACAGCATTTATTTGATAGAAATCTTTTGAAACATTTTAAATGTCTTTACTGACACTTTAGATCAATTTAATGCATCCTTGATGAATAAAAGCATTAATTTCTTTAAAATAAATAAAAAAACAGTAGTGAATATTTCCACATTAACATTAACACATTAATATTTTTTTACATTAACCCTTGAGCAACAAAGAATGCCAGTTCATTATGCTCATTATGCTGTTTCTAATTTAATTCAAATATGCATTTAATCAACTAACACGGGATCCTGAACACACCCCGTCTTTCATTGGTCAGACAAAGATAGCCCCGCCCCCACAATCACACACATAAAGACAAACACTCAAAACATCTTCTCTCTTCAGAGAATATTACTCTTCAGCTCTTTGTAAAGCCTCTTAATGACAGGAAACAAGCGCAGGATTGTGAGAATGTGACAGGACAGGAAGGAAGTGCGCCTGACCTTCTGTGTGGTGCTGTTGGTGGTCTGGGTGGAGGGTTTGGTGAAGGTGATCTTCACCGGTGACATGTGCGGCGGCAGCGAGTTGGCGATGCTCTGCATCAGGTTGCTCATCTTGGGGCTGCCGCTCACTGGAAGCGTGATGGTTTTGGGAATGGGCGTGGCCACTTTAGGCACCTCCTTCAGCAGCATGGGGGAGGAGCTAGACGAGTTGGTTCTCCGCCTCTTACGGGGTTTCTCGTCCTCATCGGAGCAGCTCACGCCTGAGAGACGGCCAGAACGAGACGTTACACACTGAGGGAGGAGAGCGTGACGTGTGTGTGTGTGTGAGTGTGTGCATGCGTCTGTGTGTGTGTGTGTGTGTGTGTGTGTGTGTGTGTGTGTGTGTGTCTGAGTGTGTGTGTATGTATGTATGTGTGTGTCTGAGTGTGTGTGTATGTATGTGTGTGTCTGAGTGTGCGTGTGTGTGTGTGTGTCTGAGTGTGCGTGTGTGTGTGTGTGTCTGAGTGTGCGTGTGTGTGTGTGTGTCTGAGTGTGCGTGTGTGTGTGTGTGTCTGAGTGTGCGTGTGTGTGTGTGTGTCTGAGTGTGCGTGTGTGTGTGTGTGTCTGAGTGTGCGTGTGTGTGTGTGTGTCTGAGTGTGCGTGTGTGTGTGTGTGTCTGAGTGTGCGTGTGTGTGTGTGTGTGTCTGTCTGAGTGTGTGTGTGTGTCTGTCTGAGTGTGTCTGTCTGAGTGTGTGTGTGTGTGTGTGTGTGTGTGTGCGTGCGTGTGTGACACACTCTTGACGTAGACTGTACTCCCGCTGGGCAGCATCACCACGTTGGAGGCGGGGCTGGCGGGTCGAGGGGATTTAAGGGCTGCTGCTGCGCTGCTGCTTGGAGTCGATGCGCTGGGTGGAGTGGAGGTGGTGCTGGTGTATGAGTAACACACCACCACTGCAACACACACACACACACACACACACACACGGTAAGGAAGAGAGAGACAGCAGCCAGCAGCAACAAAAAATAACAAAATAATAAACATATAACAGACTACACAGACACAACACATTCAAAAAAAATAAAAATTAATAAATAATAATAATAATAAATTAACTTTTTTTTTACTTATATTAACCACAAATTATACAATAAGATACAAATACATAATTAATGATAATAATATGTTGTTATCGTTTACAAAAACTTAACTTCAGTTTTTGTAACTTCTGTCCAATTTTATTGTTACTTTTGTTTTTGTTTAACTTTTTTAAAAACTTATATTAACCACAAATCATACATTATACAGACACAATATATAAAAATAATAATAAAACAAGCAATAACAATACTAACAGTATGTTGCTATCATTAGCTAAAACTAAAAATGTAATTATAAACAAAAAATAATAAAATAGTAATAATAATAGATAAAAATATGTTGTTATTGTTAACAAAAAAAGTCTTTATTAATATTTATATTAACCGCAAAACAGATTATACAGACACAAGATATACATAAAAAATCTAATTAAATAAATAAATAGTAATAGTAATAATATGTTGTTATTGATAAATAAAACTATTTAAAAAAAACTCGGTAGCTGAAATAAAATAAAAGGTCACTTTCTTTATATTTTATTATTTTTAAATTAAGTGCAAGGATTTGTATGTAATGTACAACACATGTATGTATGTATATAATAAGACTACAAATAGTAGCAGTTAAGGATGCTTAATATAAAGTTTAACCAAGTCAAATATAAATAGATAAAAACTGAAATAAATAAGTTTAAGCTGAAATACTAAAATTGCTACAACAAAAATGGAAATTATTATAAATTAAAGCTAAACAGAAACATTTAATAATAATAATAATAATAAAAATTGAAAAAGCACATAACAAAATTACCAAAACGTAAGACTAAAATTAACATGAAAACAAAATAAAAGCTCATTTAAAATAATTTGCAGGGTCTCTGTACCTTCTTTGTTGGCGGTCTCGGTGGGCAGCAGCAGCGAGGCGTTCTGGTGCGCGGTCGCGTTTGCTACTGCGTTGGCCATCACAGTGAAGGCCGTCTGAGGAACCAGTCTGGGCATGAGAGGAACCAGCCGCCGGCCCTCGATGGACCACTCAGACGAGCTGTTGGGCCCCGACATGCTGCAGGACACACGAGCAACACCACGGCCTTTATTACAGCTCAGCGCGGCTTCACTAAAGCACTAGCACGGCTTCAGTGGACTACAGCGGTGAGACTCACTGATAAGCGATGGTGGTCAGGCGCTCGTCATTCACGGCTCTGCGCACCTCTGCTCGATGCCGCTCCGTCGAGATACTGACAGAACACACCACACATTCACTGTCAAACACACACTCAGCTGTCACATATACACGACCGCTCAAACGTTTGGGGTCAGTAAGACTTGTAATGTTTTTAAAGAAGTCTCTTCTGCTCGTCAAGGCTGCATTTATTTGATCAAAAATACAGAAAAAAACACTAATCTTGCAAAATGTTATTAGAATATAAAATAATGGTTTCTATTTTAATATCCTTTAAACTGTAATTTATTTCTGTGATGCGCAGCTGTATTTTCAGCATCATTACTCCAGTCTTCAGTGTCACATGATCTTCAGAAATCATTCTAATATGCTGATTTATTATTAGCAGAAGACACTCCTGTAAAAAACATTAAAAATAGATAATAATAGCTTTGTAGGACTATACATTATTTAGATAATTACTCAAAAAAAAAAAACAGTTATATCTGATTCTGTTGCATAGAACTGAATAAAAATGATATATTGATATTTAATATTAATATATTTTCTGTCCAATTTTATTGTGTTACCTTTTTTTTATTATTTTACGGGCTAATAAGATCAATGTAACTAAAAAACATTAAGCTATCAGACGCACTGCAGTCGTGATGAAATGAAAGTCGATCTTCGCTTCTGTATTGTGACGGAAATCTGAGTGAAACTGATTATCCACAAAGAAAGAATAGAGGGCGGGACTTAGTTCTATCTGCTGCTTGCTGATTGGATGTTGAAATGTGGGTGTGGCACTCAACGGCGGAGGCGGATCTGAATGCAGTGGATCGTAATAAAGGGGCAGGGTTTAATCTGACAATGATTGGAGAAGACCAGCGTACATCATATCACTGGAGAAGCCCAAACATTTGATGTAGAAGTGAAACACGGCTGTAAACGACGTGTGTGCGTCACCTCAGCACTCGAGTGAGTTCTCCCAGCAGCTCCTTCTTGTCTTTGGTGAGATCTCCTTGAGCGCGCAGAGCGCTGATCACGCCGGCATACGCTTCCAACTCTGAACACACAAACACACGTGAGCTCGCGATCAGCACACACAACAGCACAGTGATGCTTCAGTGAGTCTCACCCAGTTTGCGCAGGATTCGTTTGCATTCATCTCTGCTGAGGTCGAGCAGCGTGGGCCAAACCACCGGCATGCTGCCCCTCACACACACACACAGACACACAGAAAGACAGACAGACACAGACTCACACACACAGACAGACACAGACTCACACACACACAGACACACACAGACAGACAGACACACACACAGACACACACACACACAGACACACACAGACAGACAGACACACACACAGACACACACACACACAGACACACACAGACAGACAGACACACACACAGACACACACACACACAGACACACACAGACAGACAGACACACACACAGACACACACACACACAGACACACACAGACAGACAGACACACACACAGACACACACACACACAGACACACACAGACAGACAGACACACACACAGACACACACACACACAGACACACACAGACAGACAGACACACACACAGACACACACACACACAGACACACACAGACAGACAGACACACACACAGACACACACACACACAGACACACACAGACACAGACACACTCTCACACACACACACACACACACACACACAGAGACACAGAGAGAGCATTCATCATCATCATACGTCACATTACAGCAGCTGTTCACCCAAACATGAACTCAGGCCTCAGGCCATCCAAGATGTAGATGAGTTTGTTTCTCCCTCAGATTTCGTTTAAAGTTTAGAGCTGTTTAAACGCTGCTTGATCTGTGCAGATTTCTCTCCTGATTCACACCAGAACACTTTTTCACTGGAGGAAGCGTTATTATGGATTATGGTCTCTATGTATTTTAGTTAAAAACGTCTTAATGCTGGATTAGTTTCAGCTTTTGTCTTCTCCAGATGTTAACTCATGGACTGGAGTGCTGTGGATTATTGTGATGTTTTTATCAGCTGTTTGGACTCTCATTCTGACGGCACCCATTCACTGCAGAGCATCCATTGCTGAGACACTGATGCATTGCTACATTTCTACAAACCTGATGAAGAAACAAACCCATCCTAATCATTCAGCAAATGTTCATTTATCTCTGAACTATTATTTTAAACACACTCACCTCTGGCAGACGCGACGGATGCTGCAAACTCTCTCTGGATGTCTAAGAGCCAATGAGCTTCAAGAAATCCTTTAGAGGAAAGCATTTAAGATGAACACCACCGAAGATTTTAAAAGCTTCAGATCACGTCTTTTGAAATTAACAAACAAAACGGACACGCCTCCTCAGACCATTTATGAAAACAACATATATGTGACGTCACGCGAGTATATTAACATACACCCGCCCATATTTGAACATCAAAGACCGTTTGGCCGCTCGCCCCGCCCAGTCCTGCATAAAACATGAGCTCACTGTTTTGATTGACACAGAGCCGCTTCATTCTGACAGTTTAAAGAGCTAATAACTGATGAGCTGTGCGTTTATTCCGATCTGATGTGAATGAGTGCTGAATGTCATCTGATCTGAAATCAAGCGTTTGTTTTGATCTGACTTTCACATATGATGGAGTCAAACCAATACAAACACTCAGTATTTCACTGCAGAATAACAGACACGTTGACCAGAAGCAGTCGTTTAATAGACACTAACGCGTGTGAAGCGCTGTTTTTGTTGTCAGTGTGCTGTGTGCAGAGAGTTAGCTTTAGCCGTTAGCTTGTCTGGAGTTTCACTCAAACACACGCGAACACAGATTCGACCCGCGGCGCTCACAGCCGAGCTGAATGTGCGTGTGAAATCACCGCTTATCACCAGTACACACCCCGGTGTGTCATTTATAATGTCAGCCGTGTGTTTAATTCCGCGCTTACCTTCAGTTCTGCACAGCCTTTCAGCTCCGCCATGTTTCTCCGACGCCCGCGCTCACAGCTGCCCGCGGGGAAAGCCCGAAACAACGACAGAAAACAGCGAAACTGAACCACTCACGCTAATAGCTTCTAACACAGTTTAACGCGAATTTAAGTCAAGTTGGTCAGCACAAAATAAACAACAAAACATCAGAACACGTCTGAATGCGATCAGGCACTGTGTCGGGCAGCTCTCAGAAGACGCCCATTGTTTACATTCTTTTGTGCGCTGCGTGTTATTGTCCTGCGTTTATGCATTTTCGTCAAATTAAGTGGTGAATATGTAAATTACTTACTAATTGTAATCCGTTACTGATTCCAAATTACATGACGTAATTTAAATAAATAGGTAAACATAAAAATACACACATAAAGGCATCATTAACAACGTAAATAAATATAAAATAATACAAAAACGGTCTGATAACGTGAAAACGACTTCAAATGTTGAGTAATATTAAATGTAGAATTTCCAAATAATATCAAAATGACTGTCGGATGTGAAAGAACCAAAACAAAAAGCCTCTCATAAACTACGTACACACCCTGTTTCATCTGTAAATTCATATAGTTATGAAAATAATAACTTTTTCACTTCAGATGAACAGTACAGCACTCGAGTTAGTAACGTAATCCGTTACAGTACACATATGTAATCAGATTACTTTTAGATTACTTTTGACTCGTTTATCACAATGATTTAAATAGGATAATCTTCCAAATTGATACATAATAAAATAACATCAATCAAAATAAAACACTCACAAAATCAAATATTTTATTTGTTTACCTGCATGTCATGTGACCATTAATGCGCCACATATTAAAGTATGAAATTCATAAAGTCGCATTAAATGTTGCATAAACTGCTAAAAATGAGTGTCTATCCTCAGTATTTGTGTCTTGTGTTCCGGTACAAACATCTAAACATACTTAAATCAAGAATCAATTACTGAAGATGCAAAATTATGTTTTATGAGCAGTTTGACACAATCTGTATTGTATAAAGCACTATACAAATAAAGGAGACTTGACTTGGTCTTAAATAAAACCCAGTTTAAAACTGAATAATAAAGACGCACGACCCCGAGCCTAAAAACAAATGTTTTTATTTACACGAAATACACATCAGGACAGTTTGATTCAAATATTATTCCATATCAACACAAATTAAAGCCCATCTCAGTTCAGTGAATTTAAACAGAAGCTTTTCAGTAATAAGATTTCAATAACGTGACAATCACGAACAACTAAACCACAACCGTCAGCTACTCATCAAACAATCACTTCCAATTAAAATGATGAAAATGTCATCATAAAATCATGGCACATCGCGGCTTATCAATGCAATTCTTCTCAGAAACTCTCGGCGTGCATCAAAAACTGTAAAATGTGAGATTTGGGTCTGGTCAAGATGACAAAAACATATTAATATTAGTGCGGTCAGACGATTAATCGCGATTAATCGCATCCAAAATAAAAGTTTTTGTTTACATAATATACGCGAGGGTGCAAAAAAATCTAAATATTGAGAAAATCATCTTTAAAGTTGTTCAAATTAAGTTCTTAGCAATGCATATTACTAATCAAAAATTAAGTTTTGATATATTTACGGTAGGAAATTTACAAAATATATTCATGGAACATGATCTTTACTTAATATCCTAATGATTTTTGGCATAAAAGAGAAATGTATAATTCTGACCCATACAATGTATTGTTGGCTATTGCTACAAATATACCCCAGCGACTTAACACTGCTTTTGTGCTGCAGGCTCACATATGATGTGAACAAGAACTTTTATTTTGGATGTGATTAATCGTTTGACAGCACTAATATTAATATACAAAGCTTAACTTATCATATAAATTCACATGAACATTATTTTCTCAAAAACACAAGATTAAACATACGTACCATACACACAACAGTGGAAAAATACAAAACCAGTGAATTTAAAACGATCGCGACACACCAATCTCCTCTGATCCCTTTACTCCTCTAAGAAAAATCATCGGAAATCAATATCATAATTTTGATTTGAATTAAGCCGTCAGACTTTGATTGTAACTATATGTGACCCTGCAGCACTAAACCAGTCTTAAGTCTCTGGGGTATATTTGTAGCAATAGCCAACAATACTTTGTATGGGTCAAAATTATACATTTCTCTTTTATGCCAAAAATCATTAGGATAAGTAAAGATCATGTTCCATGAAGATATTTTGTAAATTTCCTACCGTAAATATATCAAAACTTAATTTTT